AACTAAGGAAGTCAAGCTGTTCCATGGAGCAATTTACAAATACAACAGGTAAAAATTTACAACATTTTGATTAGTTGCAATTAAATATGATATGATATGATACTGCAGTCTTCACAATTATAGAAATACAATAAAATGCTCCGCAGGGCGCAGCTTGATACGACCGCAGAGGTCGAACCCTGAACAGTTGGGGCAAGTATGGACACAACATTCAAGCTTGATACAGCTCTAAATTTGAATTGTGATTAAATATTTGACACAGCATAGGTTTCTGACACAGAATGAAATGTGGTCTAAGAACTTAAAAATTTTAAATTGGACATTCAACTATTATGGTCCAATATCCAAAATCTAAATACATGGTTAGATGCAGCATATCAAAGAACCCCAAGAATTCAATTTTTCATGAAATCAAACAAAGTTTAATTTTGGACCCTTTTGACCTCAATGTGGACAAAGTTGATAATGGGGCCCAAAAATCAAAAATCTAAATACATGGTTAGATTCAGCATATCAAAGAACCCCATATATTCAATTTGTGTTGAAATCAAACAAAGTTTAATTTTGGACCCCGATTTGGACCAACTTGAAAACTGGGCCCATAATCAAAAATCTAAATACATGTTTAGATTCAGCATATCAAAGAACCCTAAAATTCAATTTTTGTTAAAATCAAACTAAGTTTAATTTTGGACCCTTTGGACCTTAATGTAGACCAATTTGAAAACAGAACCAATAAAATGCTCCGCAGGGCGCAGCTTGATACGACCACAGAGGTCGAACCCTGAACAGTTGGGGCAAATATGGACACAACATTCAAGCTTGATACAGATTTGCATTTGGATTGTGATTAAATATTTGACACAGCATAGGTTTCTGACACAGAATGAATGTGGTCTAAGAACTTAAAAATTTTAAATTGGACATTCAACTATTATGGTCCAATATCCAAAATCTAAATACATGGTTAGATTCAGCATATCAAAGAACCCCAAGAATTCAATTTTTGATGAAATCAAACAAAGTTTAATTTTGGACCCTTTTGACCTCAATGTGGACAAAGTTGATAACGGGGCCCAAAAATCAAAAATCTAAATACATGGTTAGATTCAGCATATTAAAGAACCCCAAGAATTCAAGAATAAAACCCCATTGAAATTGGTCAAGAAATAAGCAATTTATACGAAGTATCTTCTTTTGCACAATACTGTGCAATTGAATATTTCTTGCTATTGCGCAATACTGTACAATTGACAATTTCTTCCTATTGCGCAATATTGTGCTATTGGATATTTCTTGCTATTGCACAATACTGTGCAATTGAAGATTTCTTGCTATTGCGCAATACTGTGCAATTGAAGATTTCTTGCTATTGTGCAATACTGTGCAATTGAAAATTTCTTGCTATTGAACAATACTTATTTTATAATAATTTACACATCCTGTTTGGTGTGTATCTCCTACCATATCATTATTATTTGCTTTTAAATATAAAACAGAAATAACCAACTTAAAATGGAAAATTTTAAAAGAAAAAAAAAGGAAAAAAAGAAAAAAAAGGAAAACCCCACCCCCCAAATTTTTTGAACCCCCTTATGATTTATCACCCCCAAACTCAATCCCAGCCTTCCCTTTGTGGTATAGTACCTTGCAGTACAATTTCAGAGCGATCCATACACTTGAACACAAGTTATTGTCTGGAAACTAGAAAAATGCTTATTTTTGGCCCCTTATTCCTAAACGTTTTGGGCAATTACCCCCAAACTCAATTCCAGCTTTCCCTTTGTGATATGGAACCTTGTAGTACAATTTCAGAAAGATCCATACACTTACACACAAGTTATTATCTTGAAACTAGAAAAATGCTTGTTTTTTGCCTCTTTTTGGGCCCCTAATTCCTAATATTTTGAGGCAATTACCCCCAAAATTAATCCCAGCATTCCCTGTGTGATATGGAACCTCATGGTACAATGTCAGAGAGATCCATACACTAACACACAAGTTATGTCTGGAAGTTACAAAAATGCTTATTTTTGGCCCCTTTATGGCCCCTAATTCCTTAACTGTTGGTACCATAACCCCCAAAATCAATCCCAACCTTCCTTTTGTGGTATTGAACCTTATGGTAAAATTTCATAGAGATCCATGCACTTAAACTAAAGTTAGAGTGCGAAAACCAATGTGTCTTCGGACGACGACGACGCCAAGGTCATACCGATATACGACCGCAAAAATTTTTTGCGGTCGTATAAAAACCAGTGTTGTGATGTGGCAATGAATACAAAGATAAACAAAAAATAAAGCACTTATAGCAAAGCTGATGACCATGTTTGATAATAGTTTTGGTTTGTATAAAAATAAGAAAATGTGGTTTGAATGGATATAAGACAACTCTCCAACAGAGACCAAATGATATAGGCATGGTTTTTTTTAAAGTTGTTGAATTACAGATTTTTAATCTGAAAAGTTTGGTTGGTAAAAAGAAAATAATAAAAAAAATATCTTATAAATTTAGTAATCTTCAGCCACCTTAATTAACTATCTTCTTAGTGTGGATGGGTCTGTTTGATCTATGATGGTGGCATGCGCAGCTTATAGAAAAAAAACAATAAAAACAAACAGAACAAACTTATTGTATAGGTCTATTTATATAGATTTTATTCCCCAAAAAAAAATATTTGCATAAAATACATTTCCCATTCAACTGTCTTTGACTAATTATTAGATTTTGATTTTTAGAACCCAAACACAGCAGTCTATGTGTAGCAATCCTTTCTGTTATGTAGAAAATAAGACACAATTTGAAGGTAAATCCTAATATGCATATTTTTTGGTATATATATTTCATGGATGATGTGTTTGTAGGGTTGGGGTTAATAAAAAAAGCATTAAAATAAAATATTAATTTTTCTAAAATTTTGAAGCAGAAAAAATTCAGAAATTAACTTTTTATGATTAAATCAGTGTTTATATTGAACAGATTGAAAATATTTTATTGATATTGAATAAATACAACATCAAATGCAGTTTTGTGAGTTGAAATAACTATTTTCATCTAGTTAGAAGATATTTTTTTTATTCAGGTAAATTAATTAATGAGTGATGGATTTCTCTTAGAAGAAATTTAAAGGTTCCAGTGAATAAACTTTACAAAGAACAATAGCTATGTATCTATTCAATGGACAATAGAACGGACAAAAGTTTAAATACCTTGACAAAGAGGAGATGACTCTGTGGAAGAGTTTCATTTAGTTTGCAATAAAAGAAATCACAAATGTGTAAAGTTTTGAAGCATAAATGTTTCATTTCTGTCAAGATTGAAAAGCATGGTGCATTACATTTGCACCTAAGAATCCCTAAAATTGCTCATAGTTTTATTAGAACATTTCCACTCATTCATTTTACAGGAAAACACAGGTATACTTAAGTAAAATTTCCGGAAATAATTTTTGATATATCAACATATATTTGATATGGTTTCATATTATGACAAAAGGACTTATGGCTTGTCAGATGCTAAGTGAAACCAACAGACATGCTCCCCACACCCTTATAAAGGATCACTATTTAATATTCTTATGAAACCGAATGCCAGAGTACTGTTTACTCTTCAATGTTTACAATCATTTATATGTATAAAGCCTATAGAACTTATAATTTTTGGAGGATTGCTTAATAAAATTGATCAAATGATCAACATTTAAAGGATTTGAAAAAGACCTCACTAAGATTTTGAAATGAAGAACAGCAATAAAAGTTTTGTTTATATATGCTTTCGAGGTTTTTTTTTTTTTTTCAAATTGAGGGAATAGGGTTTTTTTTTCAATTAAGCAAACCATTGCCTTTTTTCCATTCTATCACCTCAAATATGAAAAAGTTTGACCTTTTCCCCCTTTTGTTTGTTTTATAATGTTGAAATTTATCATAAATGATCAATATATTTTAATTGTGTTACCTGTCAAATAAACATCAGCAAATGTAATAAAATTTGGTGTGCAATTGTAAAAAGATTTAATCTCTAAATTGAGCAAATGTAATGTGCTGGAAAAGGAATCAGCTGTAGATCATATTTTTCAGATTATTTGGTGTTAAACTTTTTATCAATTTTTCTATTTTGGGTAAAGATGGTGGGCATGTTTAGTGGCGTTTAGGGTCATCATCAATAATTTTTACATTGGATCACAATATATATCCTTTGAGGTAAGTCTTGTAACAACTTATCCTTTTCAGATTCTTTGGATTTTCATTTTTTTTTGGTTGCAACGAGTGAACCAACACCTTCTAACGGTACAGGCTGGTAGAGAGTAATCAGGATGGATACCCGGAGGTATGCTGCGGTTGTCTTAAAACCTCAGGAAAATAATGCTACACAAAGACAACAACATCGTAGATTACTGCAAGGAAAATCTTTATTATGGTCTACATGTTTCGCCACTTACGGTGGCGTCTTCAGGACAATTTAAACATAGAAAACCAATACTGAAGTACATAAAATGCGGTGCATATGGGGTTACAAAGGTTAACAAGACGTAACGTCACAATAATTAATTTGACAACGTTAAAATGAAAGTGAAAGTAAAAGTTAATAATGAATTGTCAGTGTCTTTTCCAAAATGGACAACACCTCACAGGACATTCTGTACCATTCCAAAAGGCTTCACTCGGAAAGAGGTACTACTTCCAATTGCGTCGGGAATGTTGTAAGATGTATGGTAGTCGCACATGTAGGGCATGGTGGAAGTTATGGTGAATTGGTTACATTTTGCGGTTGTGGTACACTATCCATGTTGCAAGTTTATTTCAACAATAATCGTGCAGTTCTGCGGTTCAGTACGTTTTGGGGTGGTCTTCTTTTGATCTTGAGTGGTAGTAGTTCATTTATTGACTTTCTAGAATAATTCGGCAATCTCGGAAGGGGTCGATATTGTCAATGCGATGTGGTTGTCAAATACAACGCTGATTTGGCAAAGGTGGATCGTCTAGTGCAGGGGTTCACAAAAAAAATTAAAGAACCTTAGTGAGCGCGCTCACATACCCCACGTCCTCACATTGTCATTTGAGAAATAAAATATGTGTAAGAAAAAAAAATTGAATCATAATTTCCTGTCAATATACACATCTACATAGTATGTCCTTATTATCTACAAAGTTTCATGAAATTATGTTGTGTGGTTTCAGAGGAGTTGCGATGAAAAACTGTTGCAGAAGACATTGAAGCAAATAAGTTCAAAGGGGCGTAACTCCTAGAAAAAATATTGAATCATAATTTCCTGTCGATATGCACATCTACATAGTATGACCTTATTATCTACAAAGTTTCATGAAATTCTGTTGTGTGGTTTCAGAGGAGTTGTGATGACAAACTGTTGCAGTAGTACATTGAAGCAAATAAGTTCAAAGGGGTGTAACTCCTAGAAAAAAAATTGAACCATAATTTCCTGTCGATATGCACATCTACATAGTATGTCCTTATTATCTAAAAAGGTTTCATGAAATTCTGTTGTGTGGTATCAGAGGAGTTGCGATGACAAACTGTTGCAGTAGTACATTAAAGTAAATAAGTTCAAAGGGGCGTAACTCCTAGAAAAAAAATTGAACCGTAATTTCCTGTCGATATGCACATCTACATAGTATGTCCTAATTATCTAAAAAGGTTTCATGAAATTCTGTTGTGTGGTTTCAGAGGAGTTGTGATGACAAACTGTTGCAGTAGTACATTGAAGCAAATAAGTTCAAAGGGGTGTAACTCCTAGAAAAAAAATTGAACCGTAATTTCCTGTCGATATGCACATCTACATAGTATGTCCTTATTATCTAAAAAGGTTTCATGAAATTCTGTTGTGTGGTATCAGAGGAGTTGTGATGACAAACTGTTGCAGTAGTACATTAAAGTAAATAAGTTCAAAGGGGCGTAACTCCTAGAAAAAAAATTGAACCATAATTTCCTGTCGATATGCACATCTACATAGTATGTCCTTATTATCTAAAAAGGTTTCATGAAATTCTATTATGTGGTATCAGAGGAGTTGTGATGACAAACTGTTGCATAGTACATTGAAGCAAATAAGTTCAAAGGGGCGTAACTCCTAGAAAAAAAATTGAACCGTAATTTCCTGTCGATATGCACATCTACATAGTATGTCCTTATTATCTAAAAAGGTTTCATGAAATTCTGTTGTGTGGTATCAGAGGAGTTGCGATGACAAACTGTTGCAGTAGTACATTAAAGTAAATAAGTTCAAAGGGGCGTAACTCCTAGAAAAAAAATTGAATCGCAATTCAATTGTGTGGTTTGAGAGGAGTTGCGATGACAAGAAACAGGACTGACGGACTGACGGACTGACGGACGGACAGACGGACGAATGGACGGGTCAAAAACATTATACCCTCCGCAACTCGTTGCGTGGGGTATAATAATAGGTTGCAACGAGTGAACCAACACCTTCTAACGGTACAGGCTGGTAGAGAGTAATCAGGATGGATACCCGGAGGTATGCTGCGGTTGTCTTAAAACCTCAGGAAAATAATGCTACACAAAGACAACAACATCCAGGGGTTCACAAAAAAAATAATACCTGCGGGTATCCATCCTGATTACTCTCTACCAGCCTGTACCGTTAGAAGGTGTTGGTTCACTCGTTGCAACCTATTATTTTTTTTGTGAACCCCTGCATCTAGACGATCCACCTTTGCCAAACCAGCGTTGTATTTGACAACCACACCGCATTGACAATATCGACCCCTTCCGAGATTGCCGAATTATTCTAGAAAGTCAACAAATGAACTACTACCACTCAAGATCAAAAGAAGACCACCGCAAAACGTACTGAACCGCAGAACCACACGATTATTGTTGAAATAAACTTGCAACATGGATAGTGTACCACAACCGCAAAATGTAACCAATTCACCACAACATTCACCATGCCCTACATGTGCGACTACCATACATCTTACAACATTCCCGACGCAATTGGAAGTAGTACCTCTTTCCGAGTGAAGCCTTTTGGAATGGTACGGAATGTCCTGTGAGGTGTTGTCCATTTTGGAAAAGACACTGACAATTCATTATTAACTTTTACTTTCACTTTCATTTTAACGTTGTCAAATTAATTATTGTGACGTTACGTCTTGTTAACCTTTGTAACCCCATATGCACCGCATTTTATGTACTTCAGTATTTGTTTTCTATGTTTATTTGTCCTGAAGACGCCACCGTAAGTGGCGAAACATGTAGACCATAATAAAGATTTTCCTTGCAGTAATCTACGATGTTGTTGTCTTTGTGTAGCATTATTTTCATTTTTTTTGTTTAATTCCCTGTTATGTTTTATAAATACTCATTTTTCTATGCTTTAAGTATTAATTCATTCCCAGGTATTTCATCCTGCTGTTGGGTCTTTTTCTTTGTTCTATATAATTATGTTTTAATATCATATAATAATAACAAAGTTAACAGATGTTTCACTTTCAGTCATTATTTCTATGTAAAAATTTGTATATATTTGCACTAAACTTGTTTTTCAATAAGATACATTTCTAGTTTTCAAAAAGCATAAGATCTACGTTTACAGTTTTAACTTTTGACATATTCTAAAATAATTCATTTATCAAACTTTATCGTAAATGTTTCACTCTCATTGTCAGCAGTCCAAATAGATCTATGTTATAGTTTTTATCATGAAATCAAACTGTTCAAATAAGAAGGAAATTTTACCCAATTACACTGGGAGAGCTACAATCAAGTCATAAATGTTGATATTGCAATAAACATCCAGATTTAATGCAGTCAAAGGAGAGTTTGGCTAAGGTGTATACCCACACCTGCCAACTTTTCAAAATCTTCATGAGGGATTTTATGCACAAGAGGACCTAATGCTACTCTCATATTGTCATAAGTGTTTTTAATCTACTACTACATTGTTTGAATGAGTATGTATGTGCCCTTTAAACTCATCTGAGTGACTGTTTTGAGGTGTTTATCTGATATAATAAAGAATTGCAAAATTCAGGTCAACACCTCGAATAGGTAAAATCTCCCATAAATTGTTAAGGTTGGCAGGTCTGTGTATACCTAGCTTCTCAAAATGTATTTCTATTTACACAAATGTATAATTTAAAGTTCAAAAATGGTCTGCATACTATGAATATGTACAAACATTAAATCACTTTTTTATGTACATTTTCATCTATAAGTTACTTACGCAATTTCTTCTTCTAATGCCTTTTTGAAGAGTCGAATAAGGAGATATTCTTCACGTTGGTTAGATCCATAATTAAACAATGAATAAATAACTGATTCCATGAATTTTGTTGTTTTACTTTGTGGCATTTCAAAAATGAGCTTGGCAAGGTAAGTAGGATTAGTTTGCAATAAATAAAACAGATGTTGGTAAGCTTCTAGACGGTCATGACAATCCTTATTTAAGGCCTTTAGACCTTTTGGGATACTTCTGTCTTCTTTGTGTTTAGATAGTTTTTTGTCCTGACTAACAACATCCTATTAAAAGAATAAATTCATATGCAAACACAAATAATCTATGTAATTTGTTTTATCATGTTTAGAGCATAGTCCTAGTGTGTACTCCCCATCTACACTACAGACATCATGTGACCATTTCTCATTTAATTTTCATTTGATTCTAACCATTTAAAAGCTTTAATCATATGTCATTTGCATGTTGTTTTTTTAAATCTCACTTTTGTGTCAATATTTTTACCAACACTGCACTCTTTTATTCAAGACAACTTTAGAAAGAACTGAAAGTCTTAAAATTACTATCATTTACATCTTTTGTTTTAACCCTTTCATCGATAGCCGGCCTGACAGAAGCTACTCTGAGACGATGGCTTCCCTGGCTATTATGACACAAGTGGGAGATCTTCATATTAAATATCAATAAAAACTTGTCTGTAGTTATTTAAGTCTTTATATTATTCACTTACACCATGGACACAGTTTTGTTAATGTTTTGATCATTTTTTTCTTCATAAAAAAAAAATCAAAATTTGGCATTAAAATTAGAAAGATCATATCATAGGGAACATGTGTACTAAGTTTCAAGTTGATTGGACTTCAACTTCATCAAAAACTACCTTGACCAAAAACTTTAACCTGAAGCGGGACAGACAGACGGACGGACGGACGAACGAACGAACGAACAAACTGAAGCATTGACCGAAAAAACATAAAGCCCCTAGGTGGGCCATAAAAATTGTCAATATTATCAAGCTGCAGACCAAATATAAAATTGTGCTTATCATCGAAGCCAAAAAAAGCATTGAACTTTCTACGTCTTGCAGACAGGTAAATGATTGATAGAGTCTAGCGGTTACTAGACCTGTGTCACAGGACACATGCAGTAAAAACTATCAAATTAAAATGTTCTGAGTTATGTCAATAATACCCTTGAAAAGAAACTTGATAATAATACTCTCAAAATAAAATTGGATTAATGAGAATCAAGTAAGAACTGATAAGAATTAATTATCCACGTATATTCCATATTCTGTGGCTTTATCTTCATAAGAGGATGCATTAATGAAGTAATTAAACTATGCAACATTTATTGTGACAATGGATTTATCAATGTATATGTGTAATACTTTTTATCTTTTCTTCTGTGGTGTTTCCAATTTCAACCCTTTAAGGTCACAAAGAGTTTCATAGATGTAAAGGCATCTTATTTAGAAATAGTTTCTCCCTCTATAAGAAGAAACTAAATTTTCTTGTCTGAAAGATTACATAAATTCCTATCAGAAAAATATTAAAAATATCTGATTGTGCATGGTTTTGACAGAATTTTCATGAACATTCCTATTTGATTTGCTGATATGTTCTGATGTCCAATATTCAAATAAAGTATGAAATTTCCATAAATAGGAAAGGGTTGGTGTTTTGAAATAATATGACTATAGCAGTTATATTCGTTTTAGCAGATATCTGCTTCAGTGGAGTCTTCTGTACCAGTAATGTGTACCACCAAGACACAACTAAATAATTCTGCATCAATCACTTTGATCTATTTGAAATCTATTATGAAGAAAAAAAACTTAAAACATAAGAATTGTTTTTACATTTACCTGCAAAGATATCCTGTTTTTAATGAGTAACCCTATTTTGATATCCATTTGATCTAAATCAGTTTCTAGTTGTTTCGTTGATCGAATTTCTGTAACCACCTTCTGACGTAACTTCTGCAATTCTAAAATATAAAAAACCTTTCATTTCTGCTATATCTAAAGCTATCCTCTATTTTGGGTCTTGACCCCACCAGTAAATCTAATGAAACAACTTAAAAAAGAAATGAAAATTAAGTAAGAGCTGTGGACAAAAATTTGTACTGGAATTAATTCATGTTTCCTAAGTTCAAAGGGTATTCATTTGAAAAATTAGGGCTCTGGAAAATTCTACCTACAGTGCTATTACAAAAATAAATCATTTAATTCTAACATAGCATGAAGGAGAAATGTGTTAATTACAAAGAGTTCACTACACAGAAAAGTAGAAGTAATAGACTTCTGGTTAAATAAAAGTTATTTAATTAATAGTTGATGTTTTCATGGGTGCTAACTTCATACCTATTTCCTCTGAGTAATCTACATCACTAGCATCCAATAAATGAACAAATCTCTGTACAACATTTAAAGGTGGGTTTTCTTCCATCACTGTAAACAGATACTTAATAGTTAAATACATAATTAAACATAGTATCTGTCATTTAGTTTTTTGTTAATTGTTGTACTGTGAAAGTACTTTTATCCATGGGGATCCAATTTTCGTGGTTTTTGTGGATGGCTTTATCCACAAATTTAAGTGTCCAACGAAATAGAACAACTGTTGTCCAATTTCTTTCTATCGAGACAATTTATAAGCATAGATGAATCAGCTTATTTCAGAAAGCAATTATTTTATTAAAAATTTGATGAAGGTTGTCAGTAATGAAAAGACAAACAAATACAGGAAAATGAACACCTTATTTTGCAATGTCCCACAAATCATTACAAAACAACATATGAATATTTTCAAGAATCTTTGTTTCTGATGGCTTCAAATTCCTCGCTAGATTTTTTTTCAGAAAACTAAAAACCACGAATTTAAGAACCCACAAACATGTAACTCTTGCTCAAACCACGAAAATTGATATCCACGAATAAAAGTACTATCACAGTAATTCTTTATAAAAACATAAGTTTCTTTTTTCAAATGCTGATGCTACCTGAGCATTTAATTTAATTCAAGTTTGCCAACATACTGTATAAAAATCATTAGAAAACACATCTTAATTTCAAATACTTAAAAACGATTGACAAGCCTCGTTTTCAATTGAAAATGCACAGGTGTCTAGTGGAGAAATATCATATCACACTTGATGCAGTAGTAGAATCTACATTTATTGCATGCTTTATATTTTCTAATTATAGTTGTTTAATACTAAAGACTAATGTTGTGTTAATATATAAACTATTACATACTTAATGCTCTGTAATCATGCCTAGCTTTGTTGGATCTGACAAATGCCTGGATTTTGACTACTGCAGCTTCCTATAAATATAGTTAAATGACATTTTGTAACAATATAACGCTTTATCTTTTACAAAATGACTACACTAAATAGTTGACTTATCACTTAAGGAGTATCTGAAAAACTGATCTAATCACAAAAATTTAACCACGAGAATGAGTTGAAGTTCAGATGTCCCCTGCCAGACCAACAAATACACCTTACAATTTACAATTATTATATATAACAAATATAGATGATCTATTATTAATCAAATCTTGGAAACTGACTTAATAAATACAAGAGTGCAGAAGCTAAAATATCCATGAACTCTGTCAGGGACATGCTCATATCATTCTATTCATGAATATAGTTTGACCTACAATGTATTATTCATAGTATCTCATTGATCACTGAACTACAAATTAAGCCAGGGTCAAGTGAACCATTAAAAGAGGTGGGGGTCAGGTGAACTTGGTCTAATTGACATGGAACACTTACAATGACTTTATATACCAAATATAGATGTTTTTTAACTCATAATAACTGAAGGCAACTTTCTTCAAGATAATGAGTATCCAGCTCTTCTATCTCCTTCTTATGATGGATGGCTGTTTAACGTCCAGCAGCAAATTAAGTGCATATTCAGGACGAGAACATGTAATGTAATATGAATATTAATCCTGATTTGTACAGGGCCAGATATTTTAACGTGCTAGTTCACAAGGTAACAGTCAACAGGAAGACATGTCATCTTACCCAGACACATTATTCTGACTCCGAGCCAACCAGTCTTTGCTTTTACTCCTAAATGCAGCAAACTTAGTAGAGAAGCAACAAATACCAATTTTAAAGTCTTTGATTTGACCCAGCCAGGGTTCCAACCCACAACCTCCAGCACTTGATGCAAACATGCTATCATCTTCTGAAATATATTCTTTGTTTACAAAGTTGACCTTCCTCCCTTTGACTCACATTCTGCAACATTTGTCACATTCAAGACAAAAACAGAAAATCATAAATAACCTTGATAAATAATATACAGTCTAGATTAACATTATCAAAATTTAACAAAAAAGTGGCTTTAAGACTTGTCATTTCATTTTCCTATTACATTTTTAAAGATTTAAATTGTTTGAAACCTCCATAATTCTGTATTGATTAACCTCAATATAAGACTCCAATTATTTTATAAGTTGCTCAATATGATTATAATTTAAGGATGTTTGCTCCTCTGTTTAAAAATAACAAAGCTTTTTGAAAGACTGTTTTAAATTGATAGCATATAAATAACAGAACTTAGATAGCAGAACAAAATGAAAGGTCCATGATCTTGTTTTTGAGTTATAAGCAATTGAAAATTTGGTGGGAAATGATTCTCTGTAGATTTTCATACATTTAACATTGGGAATATTTTTTTCAAAAACTATGAAAAAACAAGCATTCTGAGAGTATTGCATGGCAATACATAGCCCGCTACCGGTTAAAAATTCATTGTACTGGAACAAAATGCTAATTTGATCTATAACTTGTCATGGTGTAAACTATATAAAAAATATCAAGTCAATATCTTCAAGCATGACGAAAAAAATGTGAAAAACTGATTATTTGAGTGAAAGGACCATAACTCTTGACAAATTCATTCGACAGGAACAAAATTCGAACTTAGTCTGGACTGACGGATGGAAGGACAGACAGACAGACAGACAGATAGACAGACAGACAGAGTGCAAACCTAAAGTCCCCTTCGACTTCGTCAGTAGGGGACTAATAACAAGCAGTTTATAAAATTTTCAAAAATGTTTTTTTTAACTATATGTACTAAAACTATGAAAAGAAAAGTGGGGGTTAGTGGGCAAAATTTGGCTACATGGATAAAACTAGAGGATTCCGAATATCTGACAAAAAGAGTAGCGAACATCCTTAAAATAAAATGCTATCTAATCCATGCATACATTATCTTTGAAGTATTGTAATCTTTTCTTGAAATCCCTCATAGCTTTCCACATTCTGACAAATGACTGAATCTGCAATTATACAAAAAAAAACAATTCATATAATATCAGAAAAAATAAAAACGAACTTGAAAAGTTGTCCTAACCAACATACGCTCCTAATGCATCACACTGACTGAAAAGCAAAACTAATTTAAGCTATAACAAATTAGAGGCTGAAACTAAGTTGTTCAAATACTTTTTTCCAAATATCAAATATAATCTTTTTTTTTCATCACAACCAAGGTAACAACATTCCTTCGCCATAGGGAAATGTCACACGATGCTGTATAAATGAGAAATTTAATATGTACATGTATGTTACACTGTCTAATTGTGGTATGATAGTCAAAATATGGTAAAAATAAATTAACTTCCATCAAAATGAGGGTACAATATGGTCAACACATGATAGCAAACAAACCTACCAAGTAAGAGAACTTTCTGTTAAATGGTAACATAAGAGTTTGATTCACAAAGTGTCATTGTGGTACAAAAGAGACTAGATGTGTCAGAGTGACACGAATGGGCCCGCTCACCAAAAAAGCTTGAAGCCATTTTTAGGAGTGGAAATTTGAGTATGAAACTCCGTATAAATGTCATTTTCACGAAATTTTCTAAGTCCACAGCCCGTAATTTTCAGCAAAAATCAGCAGAGCGGAACCAAACTTAAACTTGACCTGTAACTCATCATAGCAGACTCACATACTAAATATCATCTCAATATGTGATGGCGTTTTGAAAAAAAGTCTGTATTTTTGCAAAAAATTCCACTCATGTCGGTGCTAGGGGCCGTCTTAACCTCGTAGGGAGGTAAGAGTTTTTTTGCTCCGTGTTGAAGGCCTCACTGTGACTTTCAGATGAAGAACAGCAATAAAAGCATTGTTCCTTTGCTTTTTGTGTGTTTTTTGCAGTGCATGTACTGATTTTGTGTCATGGATGGATACCCCATATCCTTTGTTTTTCTATTATAACTATTTGTTGCAAAATGACGGATAAGGGTAACACTATATGGCCCTGACCACTTTACAGCAGGGCCATAAAAATAATGTGCTCGCATTATAGATTTCTGTCACAGAATAAATGTGGTCAGATAACTTAAAAATTTGAAATGGGACATTTAATCTACTTAATGGTCCAATATCCAAAATCTAATTCCATGGTTAGATTCAGCATATATATAAAAAAAAAGTTTAATTTTGGACCCTTTGGACCTTAATATGGACTAATTTGAAAACAGGGCCCAAAATTAAAAATCTGAATGCACAGTAAGATTTAACATATCATAGAACCACAAGAATTCTGTTTTTGATGATATCAAACAAAGTCTAATTTTGGACCCTTTGGACCTCAATGAAGACCTATTTAAAAATGTCAAAATATCCAATATAGTAACACATGGTAAAAACCTCAAATACTTCAAGACTTTAAATTAATCCTCATTGAAATTGGTTAAAAGATTTGTATTTATTTTCAATTGAAGATTTCTTGCTGTTGTGCAATACTTTGCTGTTGGGCAATACTTAGTAAATCTGTTTACAAACTAAATATAATAATTTACACACCCTGTTTGGTGTGTATCTCCTGCCATATCAGTATTTGTTGTTACTTTATATAGATCAGAAATAATTTATGTTAGAACCAGCTTAGCCAATATTAGAAAATTCTTGTTTTTGGCCCCTATTTGGCTTCTAGTTCCTTAACGATTAAAGCCACAACCCACAAAATCAACCCCAACCTTCTGTGTGTGGTATGGAACCTTGTGTTTCAATTTCATAGAGATCCATAGACTAATACTTAAGTAATTGTCCATTAACCAGAAAAACCTTGTTTTTCCCCCCTTTTTTGCGCCTAATTCCTGAACGGTTTGGGCCATAACCCCCAAAGTCAATCCCAATCTTCCCTTTGTGGTATGGAACCTTGTGGTACAATTTCATAGACATCCATACACTTATGCCGCCGATGACCTTATAGCAATATACCAAATAAAATTTTTTGCGGTCGTATAAAAATTAGTCCCAAAACTCCTGTAAAAATTATCAAATCAAAATGTCTGTATGATATGGTCAACTACACATGATGGCATACTAGTGTAAGAGTTTTCTGTCCAAGGCAACAATCTCAATATTTTTAAAAGGCATCATGTTATGGTTTTCCATTTCTTTCACAGAGTTTCCTTTTCTGCACTGCAGAAATTCAATTGTTTAATAAGGCATTTTGAAAATGAAAACAATAACTTGCCGCATTCAATATTGCTGTTTTAATCTACTATATTTTTAGATATAAAAGGCAATAAAAGGCTCTGCTGGGCACAGCTTAATACGACCACAGAGGTCGAACCCTGAACAGTTGGGGCAAGTATGGACACAACATTCAAGCTTGATACAGCTCTGAATTTGGATTGTGATTAAATATTTGACACAGCATAGGTTTCTGACACAGAATGAATGTCGTCTAAGAACTTATAATTTTAATTTACCTATTCAAACCATATCATTATTATTTGATTTTATATATAAATCAGAAATTACCAATTTATAATGGAAAATTTTAAAGAAAAAAAAAGGAAAAAAAAATCCCCCCCCCCCCCCCCCCAAAAATTTTTTGAAACCCCTTATGATTCATTACCCCCAAACTCAATCCCAGCCTTCCCTTTGTGGTATGGTACCTTGCAGTACAATTTCAGAGAGATCCATACACTTGAACACAAGTTATTGTCTGGAAACTAGAAAAATGCTTGTTTTTGCCCCTTTTTTTGCCCCTAATTCCTAAAAATTTTAGGCCATTACCCCAAAATCAATCCCAGCATTCCCTTTGTGATATGGAACCTTGTGGTACAATGTCAGAGAGATCCATACACTAACACACAAGTCATTTCTGGAAGTTACAAAAATGATTATTTTTGGCCCCTTTTTGGCCCCTAATTCCTTAACTGTTGGTACCATAACCCCCAAAATCAATCCAAACCTTTCTTTTATAGTATTGAACCTTATGGTAAAATTTCATAGAGATCCATTCACTTAAACTAAAGTTAAAATGCGAAAACCAATGTGTCTTCGGACAGCGACGACGACGCCAACGTCATACCAATATACGACCGCTTTTTTTGCGGTAGTATAAAAACTAGAAAATAAGTCAAAATTGTCATCAAATGGCAATAAACTGCTTCGCTGAGCGCAGCTGGACACGCCCGCAGAGGTCCAACCCTGAACAGTTGGGGCAAAAATGGACACAATATTCAAGCTTGATACAGGTCTGAATTTGGATTGTAATTAAATATTTGATATATTATAGGTTTCTGAATAAATGTAGTCAAAGAACTTGAAATTGGTTATATGAAAGATTTCTTGCTGTTGTGCAATACACTGTGCTGTTGCGCAATACTTAGTTAATCTGTTGTCAGACTATAAACAAATAAAATCTTATAACTCGGAAATGTAAAATCGAAAATTGATAGAAATCAAAAGGGAGCTTACAAAAATAGATATAAACAATTTACCAAAGTTTCATAAAACATGCTGAAAGCATTTTTGAGTTATTGTCCGAAAACTGGAAAATCCCCATTTTGTAATGAATAAAACCCCATAAATCGGAAACGTATAGTCTGAAATTTATAAAAATCAAAAGGGAGCTCATGTCAATAGAAATAAACAATTCACCAAAGTTTTTTGCAAATTGGTGAAATTGTTTTTGAGTTATTGTCTGAAAACTGGAAAATCCCCCCTTTTTTAATGAATAAAACCCCATAACTCGGAAACGGTAAATCTGAGATTTATAAAAAAATGAAAGGGAGCTCATGTCAATAGATATGAACAATTCACAAAAGTTTCATGTAAATTGGTGAAATTTTTTTTTGAGTTATTCTCTGAAAACTGGAAAATCCCCCCTTTTTTAATGAATAAAACCCCCAAAACTCGGAAACGGTAAATCCGAAATTTATAAAAAACCAAAGGGAGCTCACGTCAATAGATATGAACAATTCACAAAAAGATTCATGCAAATTGGTGAAATTGTATTTGAGTTATTGTCCGAAAACTGGAAAATTCCCCCTTTTTTAATGAATAAAACCCCAAAACTCGGAAATTGTAAATCTGAAATTTATAAAAAACAAAAGGGAGCTCATGTCAATAGATATAAACAATTCACCAAAGTTTCATGCATATTGGTAAAAGCGTTTTTGAATTAATGTCCGACATGTTGACGACGGACGGACAGACAACGGTATACCATAATACGTCCCGTAAACAGGCGTATAAAAACCACTATAAGAAGTCATTCAATTGTTTCAGTCTATTGGTACATTTGTAGATCTTCTTTATCTGTTTAATTTAATCAAACTACCTTAACAGCTGTGTCTCCTTTATCCTGTAGGTACTGTAATCTTTCTTGATATTTTCTTTTCTGTTTAGAACCCTTCCAAGCAGCCTACAATATGTATTATTTAGAAAAGATATCATTTTTTCTAACTATCTTAACTCATTGTAATAATCTGTTGACACAGATATATCTCGTTTTTTTGTAATTTAGGTACTGTAAATTTAGAAATTATTGAGAGGTTTGAATTAATGTGAAAAATGTGAATCATTGAGTATGGCAATTCTTATAAACTGCTTCGCTGAGCGCAGCTGGATATGCCCGCAGAGATCCAACCTTGAACAGATGGGGCAAAAATGGACACAATATTCAAGCTTGATACAGGTCTGAATTTGGATTGTAATTAAATATTTGACATATTATAGGTTTCTGAATAAATGTTGTCAAAGAACTTGAAGTTGGTTAAATGAATTGAATTTATATTCAATTAAAAAATTTCTTGCTGTTGTGCAATACACTGTGCTGTTGCGCAATACTTAGTAAATCTGTTGTCAAACTATAAACAAATAAAGTTCAATTAATTCTCAATGTCATATTAGAAATTTATGAAAATGTAAAGGGAGCTTACATCAATAGATATAAAAAATTCACCAAAGTTTCATGAGAATTGCTGACAGCATTTTTGAGTTATTGTTCGAAAACTGGAAAATCCCCCCTTTTTTAATGAATAAAACCCTGTAACTCGGAAACGTAAAATCTAAAATTTATAAAAAAGGAAAGGGAGCTCACGTCAATAGATATAAACAATTCACCAAAGTTTTATGCAAAATGGTTAAAGCGTTTTTGAGTCAATGTCCGACATGTTGACGACGGACAAACTGACGGAAGAACAGACGGACAACGGTATACCATAATACGTCCCGTAAACGGGCGTATAAAAACTCTCATTCTGATACCTGATACATATATCTGTATGTAGCTTTTTCTAAAATGGCTGAGGGGGTGGGGCAATTAATCGCCATGGAAATGAAATGTGCCAATACTAATACAACTGCATTACATTTATCATGGACCTACCATTAGTCGTTACCCATTACCTGAACTGACCTAATCACAAATTAATACATTGTTGACGCTGCTTCGGCAGAAACAGCCTGCCTAAGTCTAGCTTTTTCTACTTTGTCAAAGAGAGACAAAACTGTATATATACATTCAAAAGAGTATTTTTAATTCATGCTATCAACTGTGTTATAGTTGTGACAAGAAACAATGGCCGTTTCTCACAAATATGGTCACCAAGAAAACAGGATAATGTATAATTAAAACAGATCTGTCCCAGAATATTCTTTTTACTCCATCACTTTAATAACAACTGTTTTCTTTAAAGTTTTTACAAATATTACTCTACCTGTATTTTCACAACAGCAGGAATTTGTGTTTGCATAAAATGAAGTCTTTGTTTGTACTGCTTCCTAGCCAGGTAACCTCTTGTATGTGACTGTATCTTTACAACAAATGATTCGTTGGCTTTCAAAAACAATCCTCTGTCATGAGCTGAAGTAATATCTGTTATCACTTTCTATATAATTAACAAAAAAAGTATAAGATTTCTTTATGGTACACATGGTACAGCTTAGAAAAGAATAAAGGGTACAAAAAACCGCAACAACAAAACAGAAATTTAATACTATAGATGAAATTGTTCAATAATTTCTGTCGTAACAGAGGTAACTCACATTGTTGAAACTATTAGTTCTAACTGCAAAGTTGTTTGGTTTGACTTACTAGTATATAGTACCAAACATAATTTCTTACTAGAAAATATCATTTGTAACAAAAGGTCAGTCCTTAGGACAAATCAAAGAGCTTTGCAGCTCATATGAAAAGTTGGCCATTGTTTCTCTTGACATTAGTACATGTACCTGTATTTATTCCCAAAAATATTTGTACTGCACATGTGTTCATCTATACAGAAATAAAATGCTCCGCAGGGCGCAGCTTGATACGACCGCAGAGGTCGAACCCTGAACAGTTGGGGGAAGTATGGACACAACATTCAAGCTTGATACAGCTTTGGATTTGGATTGTGATTAAATATTTGACACAGCATAGGTTTCTAACACAGATTGAATGTGGTCTAAGAACTTAAAAATTTTAAATTGGACATTCACCTATTATGGTCCAATATCCAAAATCTAAATACATGGTTAGATTCAGCATATCAAAGAACCCCAAGAATTCAATTTTTCATGAAATCAAACAAAGTTTAATTTTGGACCCTTTTGACCTCAATGTGGACAAAGTTGATAACGGGGCCCAAAAATCAAAAATCTAAATACATGGTTAGATTCAGCATATCAAAGAACCCCATATATTCAATTTTTGTTGATATCAAACAAAGTTTAATTTTGGACCCCGATTTGGACCAACTTGAAAACTGGGCCCATAATCAAAAATCTAAATACATGTTTAGATTCAGCATATCAAAGAACCCTAAGAATTCAATTTTTGTTAAAATCAAACTAAGTTTAATTTTGGACCCTTTGGACCTAAATGTAGACCAATTTGAAAACGGAACCAAAAATTAAGAATCTAAATACACGGTTAGATTCGGCATATCAAAGAACCCCAATAATTCAATTTTTGATGAAATCAAACAAAGTTTAATTTTGGACCATTTTGACCTCAATGTGGACAAAGTTGATAACGGGGCCCAAAAATCAAAAATCTAAATACATGGTTAGATTCAGCATATCAAAGAACCCCAAATATTCAATTTTTGTTGAAATCAAACAAAGTTTAATTTTGGACCCCGATTTGGACCAACTTGAAAACAGGGCCCATAATCAAAAATCTAAATACATGTTTAGATTCAGCATATCAAAGAACCCTAAGAATTCAATTTTTGTTAAAATCAAACTAAGTTTAATTTTGGACCCTTTGGACCTTAATGTAGACCAATTTGAAAACGGAACCAAAATTTAAGAATCTAAATACACAGTTAGATTCGGCATATCAAAGAACCCCAATAATTCAATTTTTGATGAAATCAAACAAAGTTTAATTTTGGACCCTTTGGACCTCAATGTGGACCAATTTAAAAACGGGGCCCAAAATCCAAAAACTAAATACACGGTTAGATTCAGCATATTAAAGAACCCCATGAAATCAAGAAAAAAACCCCATTGAAATTGGTCAAGAAATAAGCAATTTATAGGAAGTATCTTCTTTTGCACAATCCTGTGCTATTAAATATTTCTTGCTATTGCGCAATACTGTACAATTGACAATTTCTTGCTATTGCGCAATATTGTGCTATTGGATATTTCTTGCTATTGCGCAATACTGTGCAATTGAAGATTTCTTGCTATTGCGCAATACTGTGCAATTGAAGATTTCTTGCTATTGTGCAATACTGTGCAATTGAAAATTTCTTGCTATTGCACAATACTTATTATATAATAATTTACACATCCTGTTTGGTGTGTATCTCCTACCATATCATTATTATTTGATTTTAAATATAAATCAGAAATAACCAACTTAAAATGGAAAATTTTAAAAGAAACAAAAAAGGAAAAAAAGAAAAAAAAAGGAAAAAAAAATAAATCCCCCCCCAAAATTTTTTGAACCCCCATTATGATTCATCACCCCCAAACTCAATCCCAGCCTTCCCTTTGTGGTATGGTACCTTGCAGTACAATTTCAGAGAGATCCATACACTTGAACACAAGTTATTGTCTGGAAACTAGAAAAAAATGTGTTTTTTGGCCCCTTTTTGGCCCCAAATTCCTAAACGTTTAGGGCAATTACCCCTAAACTCAAACCCAGCTTTCCCTTTGTGATATGGAACCTTGTAGTACAATTTCAGAAAGATCCATACACTTACACACAAGTTATTGTCATGAAACTAGAAAAATGCTTGTTTTTTGCCCCTTTTTTGGCCCCTAATTCCTAAAATTTGGAGGCAATTACCCCCAAAATCAATCCCAGCATTCCCTGTGTGATATGGAACCTTGTGGTACAATGTCAGAGAGATCCATACACTAACACACAAGTTATGTCTGGAAGTTACAAAAATGCTTATTTTTGGCCCCTTTTTGGCCCCTAATTCCTTTACTGTTATTACCATAACCCCCAAAATCAATCCCAACCTTCCTTTTGTGGTATTGAACCTTGTGGTTAAATTTCATAAAGATCCATTCACTTAAACTAAAGTTAGAGTGCGAAAACCAATGTGTCTTCGGACAACGCCGGACGACGACGACGACGCCGGACGACGACGACGACGACGCCAACGTCATACCAATATACGACCACAAAAATTTTTTTGCGGACGTATAAAAAGAGATATTCAATATCATGGTTCAATCTAGACATCTTCCTTAATACCATTAAATAAATTTCCTGAAAATCATATCTAGCATTTTCAGCTTCAAACAAACAGTTGTGCCAGGAACCAATGATTTGCCCTTATAATAAAAATAACTGAGATAAGACATGCATGTAGATTTGATACAGGTTTGAATAGAAACAACAAGAAGTGTTTTTAAAGATTGATTAGGGCTATTCCATTAAAATGTATGTGGGAGGGTAGGAACAGGGCTTACAAAACGGTCATATATTCCGGACTTAACCGAAACTTTCATAAAAAGACCAGCTGCTCTCAGCCTCAAACGGTCAAATAGAATTGGTGTGCCACATTTTGTTATTCAAGGCATTTTCATGAAACGGTCATTTCAATTTTTACCAACTATCGATCGATAAAAATGTCCTTTTGGGGCTTTGGGCATGTCCGTTTAGGCATTTTAGTTTATAATTGTGGCAATCTATTTCACAAAGATATTTCGGTCATAATTGGGTTTAATAAAACAGAAGCAGCATATTTCAGATACTTTGAAGTGTCTCAGTTAGTCTAATCCTCTGGGTACATAAATGTACGGCTTGGTCTTTAGCTTGTGTACATCAATAAAAAGTAGAAAAACACGTTTTCTTTTATTTAAATAACAACAAGCTGTCAAACAATTATCCCTTCAATAAGTTATATTGAAGCCATAAATCATTCACGGATTACAGGTTTGTTACCTTTGATGAGGTGTCCTTAGCTTGTCTTTATCAATAGAATTAATGATGCATAACAATGTACATAAAGGTAATCAGGTAAACGAGGTCAAACATGTAAGCGTGTATGGAACAACATCCTATTTAATTACGCTTTATAGATATTATTTTAAATGAGCATTCAGTTTAAAAAAGTATCCTGATATTTAAAAGTTATTCTTCAAATAAGGATATTTATAAATGAATAAGTATGATATATATTATTTTATTTAACACTGTACATCGTGTTAAATACTGGGGTACTCTCAAGGGGAAAATTTACTAAAATATATAGGAAAAACACAGAGAATAGCTTCGCTTGGGTATACCAAGCTGAGTTGTCCAATAAATAAGGGGGGGCGTTCTCTATTCTTGTTTTCATATTAAAAACTGTTTTTATAATTAAAATCATAAAGAATAATATCCAATCATGACAATCTCCGACTGTTATAAAGACTTTGTCTCAAATTGAACTTTACAAATCTGCCATCATGGGCAAACGTAAACGTGACGATTCCGATCAAAATTCAAAATCTGCTAAAAATGCTAGAAGCTTTATTCATAAATGGTTACAACTGTTTTTATGGTTAAGATTTGACAGTATGCTAAATGCCATGTTTTGTGACATTTGTCAAAAACATAAACTTAAAAATAACTTTGTAAAGCCGCTGGTTCGACAAATTTTCGAAAGTCAGCCGTTGTAGAGCATGCTAATAGCAATGACCACATTCAAGCTCTTAAATTAGAGACAGCTTCCAAAAGTAATCCAATTGTATCAGTATGTGCTCATTGTAATATTTATTGCGTGTGTTTGTCAACATTGTGCTCTTCTCATATTTTATTGTTGTTATATGCTTACATAAAATATCATGTTGTTATTCATTAAATTATTTATCAACTGAGTATGTTTTTATTTATTCCTTATTTTCTAAATCAGGTTGGGAAATTGTACAAAGAAAAATGTTATCACTGTTCAGTAGATTTTACACGGTTTAAAACAATATCCTTCATTGGGCCTCCTCAATGTTATCTATAAATACCGCATCAGTTGTAAAAGTCACGTGATCAGGTAATCAATAGACAAAAAGAAAAGTATCACGTGTATTGATGATCAAGTTGTACTGCAATTAAAGCCAACATCTAGAGTTTCAAATAAGATGGCCTTAATTTACAAAGTGTTAAGTACTCACAGAGAGAAGATAGATTATATAAACAGAAACAAAAACATGAGAACAGTCAGGTACTGAAGCTGATTGATGCAATGATGGTTACTGTATTACGATACACAGAAAAATGACACAATACCGAGGATAATATTTTATTTATTTTTAGAATGAAGAAAACAAAACAGTTATAAATAATTTTATTGCATATAACACTACTAATTATTTAGACACATATATCAATTTATGCATCCTCTCAGTTACATTTAAGTATCCAGCTGATCATTGACCGTCAAAAATATTTCTTTGAAAAATGTCTGGCTGTCGTCAGGAAATTTTGGAAGCCCTGGGTAGGAAGGGAAGTTTAATTATTGAATGTGGGTCATGGGTCTTTTTTCAGTATGTGTCTATTACCATTATGCAAAATTATCTAAAAAATGGTTTTTGGTAGTAGGGATATTTTGAAAGTCACTTCCTACCCTCCCACATCCATTTTAATGGAATAGCCCTTAAAAGATACTTGAGTTATTTCAAAACATATTAGAAATTGACAAGCTTCTCACAATTAAAGTTCAGATACAAAGATGTAATGTTAGGTTGCCAGGCTACTATTTCTAATGCATTGTCAGAACAGAATGAGGTTTCTCAAAATTACTGATTTTTTAACAACAAAAATCCCATTTTGAAATCAGGAATTAATTTGCAGTAGCACTATATTTTTATATATTAGTTTTCATTGAAGTCCTCGCACAAAAGGATGTTTCTAATAAGATGCTCCGCTGGGCGCAGCTTGATACGACCGTAGAGGTCAAACCCTGAACAGTTGGGAGTTGAGGCAAGTATGGACACAACATATAAGCTTGATACAGCTCTGAATTTGGATTGTGATTAAATATTTGACACAGCATAGGTTTCTGACACAGAATGAATGTGGTCTAAGAACTTAACATTTTTTAATTTAACTATAATGGTCCAATATCCAAAATCTAAATACATACACGGTTAGATTCAGCATATCAAAGAACCCAAAGAATTCAATTTTTGTTAAAATCAAACTAAGTTTAATTTTGGACCCTTTGGACCTTAATGTAGACCAATTTGAAAACGGGACCAAAAATTAAGAATCTAAATACACGGTTAGATTCAGCATATCAAAGAACCCCAATATTTCAATTTTTGATGAAATCAAACCATATCATTATTATTTACTTTTATATATAAATCAAAAATAACCAACTTAAAATGGAAAATTTTAAAGAAAAAAAAAAGGAACCCCCCCCCCCCAATTTTTTGAACCCCCTTATGATTCATCACCCCCAAACTTAATCCCAGCCTTCCCTTTGTGGTATGATGGTACCTTGCAGTACAATTTCAGAGAGATCCATACACTTGAACATAAGTTATTATCTGGAAACTGTAAAAATGCTTGTTTTTTTGCCCCTTTTTGGACCCAAATTCCTAAACGTTTAGGGCAATTACCCCCAAACTCAAACCCAGCTTTCCCTTTGTGATATGGAACCTTGTAGTACAATTTCATAAAGATCCATACACTTGCACACAAGTTATTGTCCTGAAACTAGAAAAATGCTTGTTTTTTGCCCCTTTTTGGCCCCAAATTTCTAAAATTTTGAGGCAATTACCCCCAAAATCAATCCTAGCATTCCCTTTGTGATATGGAACCTTGTGGTACAATGTCAGAGAGATCCAGACACTAACACACAAGTTATTGTCTGGACGTTACAAAAATGCTAATTTTTGGCCCCTAATTCCTTAACTGTTGGTACCGTAACCCCCAAAATCAATCCCAACCTTCCTTTTGTGGTATTGAATCTTATGGTAAAATTTCAGAGAGATCCATTCACTTAAACACAAGTTATTGTCTGGAAACTAGAAAAATGCTTATTTTTGGCCCCTTTTTGGCCTCTTATTCCTTAACTTTTTGGGCAATTAAAGAACCTTAGTGAGCGCGCTCACATACCCCACGTCCCCACATTGTTATTGGAGAAATAAAATAAGTGTAAGAAAAAAAAATTGTATCAGAAAAAAAAATTGAATCATAATTTCCTGTCAATATGCACATCTACATAGTATGTCCTTATTATCTACACAGTTTCATGAAATTCTGTTGTGTGGTTTGAGAGGAGTTGTGATTTTCAAGTTTTATCAAGTTGAAACAGCAATTTTGAATATAAGTAAAGAATTCAAAGACATAGACAATTTAATTCTCAAGACGCGAAAGAGAGAGCATTGACTTTGCAGAATTGTCATATGCTATTTCAAAGGTACAACCTTTTGTGCAAACAAATCAAAATTATTTTTTCATTTCAGGCAATTGTTATTGAGTGTATATCAAAAGATTTTGATTTTCTGCAAAATAAATTTGTTACTTCATTAAAATATGATTAAAATTACCTTTAGCTAATGTTTGATCAATTTATTGCATTAAAACCTTAAATTCCTTTCCAAATGAAAGAACCTTAGTGAGCGCGCTCACATACCCCACGTCCCCACATTGTCATTGGAGAAATAAAATAAGTCATTATAAGTGTAAGAAAAAAAAATTGTATCAGAAATAAAATTGAATCATAATTTCCTGTCAATATGCACATCTACATAGTATGTCCTTATTATCTACACAGTTTCATGAAATTCTGTTGTGTGGTTTGAGAGGAGTTGTGATGACAAAAGGTTGCAGTAGTATATTGGGCAAATAAGTTCAAAGGGGCGTAACTCCTGGAAAAATAATTGAATCTTAATTTCCTGTCGATATGCACATCTACGTAGTATGTCTTTATTATCTAAAAAGGTTTCATGAAATTCTGTTGTGTGGTTTGAGAGGAGTTGCGATGACAAAAGGTTGCAGTAGTATATTGGGCAAATAAGTTCAAAGGGGCGTAACTCCTGGAAAAAAAATTGAATCGTAATTTCCTGTCGATATGCACATCTACGTAGTATGTCCTTATTATCTGAAAAGGTTTCATAAAATTCTGTTGTGTGGTTTGAGAGGAGTTGCGATGACAAACTGTTGCAGTAGTACATTAAAGTAAATAAGTTCAAAGGGGAGTAACTCCTAGAAAAAGAATTTAATTGTAATTTCCTGTCGACATGCACATCTACATAGTATGTCCTTATTATCTAAAAAGGTTTCGTGAAATTCTGTTGTGTGGTTTGAGAGGAGTTGTGATGACAAGAAACAGGACTGACAGACTGACGGACGGACAGTTGGGTCAAAAACATTATACCCTCCGCAACTCGTTGCGTGGGGTTTAATTACTTGTCAAAGATTTTTTATTTTGGAAAAAAAAAAATTCAGTCTGCCATCAAAATATTTATATAAACAGATCAGGGAAGGACAAATTATGACTGAAATCAATGTTCTTAATGCTCAGCTGAGAGGAGAACAAGAAGCTCAAAAAAGAAAAATATGTATTCGACACACATTAATAGACTTTTGGTTTGATACCCTTAGATACAAGTACATGTATATATTTCAATGACAATGCATTGTTAAAGTGGTTGGATTTAAGATGCCTAAATTTGTTAAACTTATACATTTTTAATAAGAAACAATAAATATCATCAACAGAATAGTTTTCCTTATTAAATTTTAATTGATAAATGATAATTTCTTTCCCTTTTTATTTTTCTTGTATTTAAATATGCAACAGCAATATCTAATTGAGAGTTCCTTACATCAGGAAAAATTTAATTGTGTAGCTATAAAAAAAAAACATAAATTGAGACAACTGTTACCGTAATGGTATTCTTAAGCATGAAATAAAATTGATTTGAACAATAAAAAAAGAGGATTAAATAAATATGAAACAAATTGCAAAATACATCATTGTAATAACCAAACATTATAGCACCGCAATTAACCAGCACTTCTCTATTTAGTCTCACCACTTCTCCCTATCAGTTTCAAAAAGAAAAGTCAATTCTTCCTATTCTTCTAGAGTAGTGTTTGAGCCGTGCACATATAAATAACATGCACAACAACTGTGTATGATTTCAGCCGTGTCTTACCCATACTTTTGAGGTTTTGTGTTTACAAAAGATTCTCAAACATGGTAATTTTTCAATAAAAATTAACTTTTTTCTAATACTAATAATCCAATTTTCATAAAAAAAATAATATGCACATCTACATATTATGCACAACAACTGTGCAAAATTGTATAGGTGTCCTATCTATACTTTTGGAGTTTTTGTGTCAACAGATGGACAAACTAGTTGATTTTTTTTTTGTATCCTCAACATCTCAAGTCCTTTTATACAATATATCGAAACTTTCTGAAATATAAACCATATGGTTCTATTGCACACCTCCTATTTTGGGTTTTTTTTTCAGAATCATTTTTAGGACTTCTTTTAGCAAATCATGGACTTCTCAAGAGGCAAGGGTATCATTTTGTGAGCTTTGCTCACAGTAAGTCTAGTTTATTATTACATTTTGTTAACAATTGCATGATATGAATTAAATTTGGGCAAACTATTTGTCCCTACTCCTATCTTAATAAAAAGAAATATGTAATTTACATTTACCTATTTACTTAAAGTAACTACATCTTCTACTTTAGAAATAAATACATAACATTATAAGTGAAATAGATACCTGTATTTCTTCTTTTGTTAATAAAGAATGATCTTTGACAACATCATCAGGTCTAGCCCAGGCAAAAGAATCACGGTGTATATTGTAATAAAACTTTGATCCATCCTTCAGTCTGTTCATCATCCATCCACTGCCTCCACTTCCTACAGTAATAGGTCAAATACATAACAGTAATAGGTCAAATACACAACAGTAATAGGTCAAATACATAACAGTAATAGGTCAAATACATAACTGTAATAGGTCAAACACATAACAGTAATAGGTCAAATACATAACAGTAATAGGTCAAATACACAACAGTAATAGGTCAAATACATAACAGTAATAGGTCAAATACATAACAGTAATAGGTCAAATAAATAACAGTAATACATGTAGGTCACATACATAACAAGATGGCAAAATTCTATCAACAATGTATAAAAAAAGGAAATGGCACTATAAATATTCTAGTCCATATATATCAAAGCCATGTTTGAATACTAATTTAATCATTTAAAAAAAAGATCAACAAATAATACAACAGAGGTTAATGTAAACTTTAGCAGATGGACATGAACTAAAAATACACTTCCAAACTGTAATAGTCCTGTTATATCAGCCTTTGCCTAGGTTTCATTTAAGGCACACAGAAATGAAAGAACCTTAGTGAGCGCGCTCACATACCCCACGTCCCCACATTGTTATTGGAGAAATAAAATAAGTGTAAGAAAAAAAAATTGTATCAGAAAAAAAAATTGAATCATAATTTCCTGTCAATATGCACATCTACATAGTATGTCCTTATTATCTACACAGTTTCATGAAATTCTGTTGTGTGGTTTGAGAGGAGTTGCGATGACAAAAGGTTGCAGTAGTATATTGGGCAAATAAGTTCAAAGGGGCGTAACTCCTGGAAAAAAAATTGAATCGTAATTTCCTGTCGATATGCACATCTACGTAGTATGTCCTTATTATCTACACAGTTTCATGAAATTCTGTAGTGTGGTTTGAGAGGAGTTGCGATGACAAACTGTTGCAGTAGTACATTAAAGTAAATAAGTTCAAAGGGGAGTAACTCCTAGAAAAAGAATTGAATCGTAATTTCATGTCGATATGCACATCTACGTAGTATGTCCTTATTATCTGAAAAGGTTTCATGAAATTCTTTTGTGTGGTTTGAGAGGAGTTGCAATGACAAAAGGTTGCAGTAGTATATTGGGCAAATAAGTTCAAAGGGGCGTAACTCCTGGAAAAAAAATTGAATCGTAATTTCCTGTCGATATGCACATCTACGTAGTATGTCCTTATTATCTGAAAAGGTTTCATGAAATTCTGTTGTGTGGTTTGAGAGGAGTTGCGATGACAAAAGGTTGCAGTAGTATATTGGGCAAATAAGTTCAAAGGGGCGTAACTCCTGGAAAAAAAATGAATCGTAATTTCCTGTCGATATGCACATCTACGTAGTATGTCCTTATTATCTGAAAAAGTGTCATGAAATTCTGTTGTGTGGTTTGAGAGGAGTTGCAATGACAAAAGGTTGCAGTAGTATATTGGGCAAATAAGTACAAAGGGGCGTAACTCCTGGAAAAAAAATTGAATCGTAATTTCCTGTCGATATGCACATCTATGTAGTATGTCCTTATTATCTGAAAAGGTTTCATGAAATTATGTTGTGTGGTTTGAGAGGAGTTGCGATGACAAACTGTTGCAGTAGTACATTAAAGTAAATAAGTTCAAAGGGGCGGAACTCCTAGAAAAAGAATTGAATAGTAATTTATTGTCGATATGCACAACTACATAGTATGTCCTTATTATCTAAAAAGGTTTCATGAAATTCTGTTGTGTGGTTTGAGAGGAGTTGCGATGACAAAAGGTTGCAGTAGTATATTGGGCAAATAAGTTCAAAGGGGCGTAACTCCTGGAAAAAAAATTGAATCGTAATTTCCTGTCGATATGCACATCTACGTAGTATGTCCTTATTATCTACACAGTTTCATGAAATTCTGTTGTGTGGTTTGAGAGGAGTTGCGATGACAAACTGTTGCAGTAGTACATTAAAGTAAATAAGTTCAAAAGGGAGTAACTCCTAGAAAAAGAATTGAATCGTAATTTCATGTCGATATGCACATCTATGTAGTATGTCCTTATTATCTGAAAAGGTTTCATGAAATTCTATTGTGTGGTTTGAGAGGAGTTGCAATGACAAAAGGTTGCAGTAGTATATTGGGCAAATAAGTTCAAAGGGGCGTAACTCCTGGAAAAAAAATTGAATCGTAATTTCCTGTCGATATGCACATCTACGTAGTATGTCCTTATTATCTGAAAGGGTTTCATGAAATTCTGTTGTGTGGTTTGAGAGGAGTTGCGATGACAAAAGGTTGCAGTAGTATATTGGGCAAATAAGTTCAAAGGGGCGTAACTCCTGGAAAAAAAATGAATCGTAATTTCCTGTCGATATGCACATCTACGTAGTATGTCCTTATTATCTGAAAAGGTGTCATGAAATTCTGTTGTGTGGTTTGAGAGGAGTTGCAATGACAAAAGGTTGCAGTAGTATATTGGGCAAATAAGTACAAAGGGGCGTAACTCCTGGAAAAAAAATTGAATCGTAATTTCCTGTCGATATGCACATCTATGTAGTATGTCCTTATTATCTGAAAAGGTTTCATGAAATTATGTTGTGTGGTTTGAGAGGAGTTGCGATGACAAACTGTTGCAGTAGTACATTAAAGTAAATAAGTTCAAAGGGGCGGAACTCCTAGAAAAAGAATTGAATAGTAATTTATTGTCGATATGCACAACTACATAGTATGTCCTTATTATCTAAAAAGGTTTCGTGAAATTCTGTTGTGTGGTTTGAGAGGAGTGGCGATGACAAGAAACAGGACTGACGTACTGACAGACTGATGGACAGACAGACGGACGGACAGACAGACGGACAGACTGACGGATCAAAAACATTATACCCTCCGCAACTCGTGGGGTATAATAATGTATAGGGGGATTTAACTTTATGGATTTGACTCAAATCAACAAAAAAAGATTATATCCCAACACTTTAACAACTATTATTTGACCCCTGCAGAAAAAAGTTGATCAACTGGAACAAAATGCAAATTTGGTCTTCAAGTCATCATTATACATTGATGTCCCAAAATCCGTCCCAAATCTGCAGCCATTACCAAAAGAAATATGCAAAGCAAAATTTTCCAAAAAAGTCCAAGTCGCTCTACTAAAAGTCAGCAAACAGGAAGTAGATAAGTGTCTAACGGTAAAGCTAAACAATATGAAGCTTGGTACTAAATATCAAGAAGCTCTGATTTGTAGTTGCTGTTACAGAGCAACAGACAGATATAAACCAGCGTACATACCCCATGAATAGTAATGAATCCACAGTTATCACATTCAGATGAAGAAATGAAACAGAGGTGCAAAGGGACACCGTGTAAGATTCACAAAATTCTGTCATATAATTCAGGAGTAGTAGCAGACACAAAGTTGGAAGGAAAGATGAATGGACAGACTCCCCATCGCTATATTATGCTCACTTCAAAAAGGGGGAATGGTAGTATCCTGTTCTTTACACCTCTTTTTTTACCATATCTTGTTCAGGGACCTGCGACTCTTTTCACAAAACATCTTACGATTAAAATTGATCGTAAGTTATACTGAAATGTGTAGGACTTACGAGTATTTTACTCTTAAGATTTTTTGTGAAAAAAGCCGCTGGTACCAAAACAAAATAGCATTACAAATAAGTGATGTGATATTACATGTTTTCTATGCAATTTTTTAGCCTTAACAAGAACAACATTGTTCACACTATTCTCCTTTGAAAAATGAAGAATTTTTTGTAAGTTCTTTTGTCAACCTAAAAATAGAAATTATACCAGACTGAAGCTTATTTTCCCTGCAATTCTGTAGTCCATCCTTGTATTGGTCCATACATTCAGGTATTATACTATGCAGTCCAAGATCTTGATTCTGTAAACTATCCCCAAGATTTTCTTCTGTGCCATCTATAGCACTGTTTACATCAAACAGACCTTTAGACACTATGCAAAGATAAAAGAAAAAAATACATCAGAGAAAGAGATCTTACAGCACTGGTTGTTCCCCTGATAAAATTGCTTAATTAATATGACGTTCTTCAAACACTTTTGAGTACACACTCATGGTAAAATATGAATATATTGTATGTCAGCTGATCTGCAACATCATGATTTGCTTGGGCTGTTCCCATCATACTCCCATGTTGTATGCTATTTATGAATGAGTTACCCAAGGTAACTCTGTGTAATAATATCATTGAACGATGACGTAAGAATATAAGCATTCTATAGGAAAATGCATGAATGTGAAACTGAATGTCATCAAACACTGAAAAACATATACAAACGAAAATAAAAATATTTTGACAGTCAATTTTCTTAAATAAAAGTAAGACAATCATTTATTTCGTCGAAACCTGTCATAGTATATTATTGTAAATTGTTGATGCAGGTCACTAATTCAGCTTACTTTGTCTTTTACGTCTTAGGGTGACTGGGGAATAGAAATATGGTCACTCTTGGCCTTCTGACTGGCAGTTAAACACTTGCTAAAGTGAGGTGTTTGGCTGTGCAGAATAAACCAGTATGCAGCCACGTATGGTCAGAATGGGGACATCCAATGCCTCATGTGGAGAGAGTGCAACAACCTTTTGATAGGTCCATAGGTGGCATGTTGCAAGGCAAAATTTCTGTCCCTATTCAATATACCCTCATTTTTCAGTAGCAGTCATATTTTCCCGACCTTAATCACGGACCTCTATTACAGGACCTATCTATTGTATTCATTGTTAATTTGTTCTCATTCTGAAAGTGCATGAAATATTTGCCACTGGATGTTTAGCAACCAACAATCAATCAATCAATCTTTTACTTCAATATTAATAGTGTGTTTAATTACCGAAACAGCAAGTATTTACCCCACGTAGAGTGCTTCAATCCAAAAGAATTGCTGTATTTGTCCTACTAGAATAGAAATAATTCATGGGGTCTTGAATTCATACTGATTTTATCATTGATTTGGCCTTTATGCTGCTCCTTGTTGTAAAATATTTAGCATAAAGAGCCAACCTGTGGTAAAATCAGTATAAATTCAAGCCCCCATGAATTATTAAAAGGTTAACATATTACTATAAATTAACAAGGAATACTTGGTTTTTTTAAGATATATATTTTTAAGGAAATTATTTAGATTATAGTTAAATCATGCAAGGCCTTCATATCATATATGAGTAAATCCAGTGAAATGACATTTTAGGATTAGATATTTATGAAACCAGTTGGTAAAAAAAAGTTAGGCACTATACTCTTCATTTGTACAGACCGCCAAAGTCAACTATAGACTGGATTAATGATTTTGAAAAAGAACTAGGAATGGCAGTGACCATTAATTCAGATATAATATTATTGGGTGATTTTAATATGAATTTTAAAGCACCAAGCAAACCTCCTCAAAAATGGCTGAGTGTTTTAGAATCATTCAATCTTCAACAAATGATTGTAGATGCTACAAGGGTTACAAAGGATACTAGTACATTGATTGATCATATCTATGTCAGTAATCTAGATAAGGTACAGGAATCACATGTCTGTAAATATGCAATTAGTGACCATTATCCTATTTGTTTAACAAGGAAAGAAGTTAATAAAGACAAAAAGAATACACACAGTACAATCACATACAGGAATTTCAAAAAATTTGACCAATATGAATTTCTATTAGACCTACAAAGTACACCTTTTTATAAAATTGAATTTGAAGACAATCCTTCTGTCTGTTTCCAATTATTTTATGATATGTTGAACAAAGTTTTAAATAAACATGCTCCTGTTGTTGAAAAGAGAGTTAAAAATGATAGGCAACCTGATTGGTATAATAGTGAAATTATGTATGCCGGGAACATGAGGGATAAATATAATGCACTTGGATTGTGGAGTGAATATAGATTTTGGAGAAATAAAACTAAACAAATAATAGAGAATTCAAAAAAGAATTATTATAAAAACATGGTAAAAGACTCTAATGACTCAAAATCTTTATGGAAATGCCTTCATAGCCTGAACCCTAAGGTAAAAAAATCCCCACATGAGTTAGCTACAGATGAGAACAATACAACAAATAATAAAAAATCTATAGCAGATACTTTTAATAACTTTTTTACTTCCTGTGCTGAAAAACTAAGAGAGCAAAGAGATATTTCATCTGTTGACAAGGCAGATTTCAATAATCTTAGCACATTCATTAATAATCAATTAAAACAACAACAAAATGCTTCGCTGGGCGCAGCTTGATACAACCGCAGAGGTCGAACCCTGAACAGTTGGGGCAAGTATGGACACAACATTCAAGCTTGATACAGCTCTGAATTTGGATTGTGATTAAATCTTTGACACAGCATAGGTTTCTGACACAGAAAGAATGTGGTCTAAGAACTTGAATTTTTTTAATTTACCTATTATGGTCCAATGTCCAAAATCAAAATACATGGTTAGATTCAGCATATCAAAGAACCCCATATATTCAATTTTTGTTGAAATCAAACAAAGTTTAATTTTGGACTCCAACTTGGACAAAGTTGAAAACTGGGCCCATAATAAAAAATCTAAACACATGTTTAGATTCAGCATATCAAAGAACCCCAAGAATTCAAGTTTTGTTAAAATCAAACTAAGTTTACTTTTGGACCCTTTGGACCTTAATGTAGACCAATTTAAAAAACAGGACCCAAAATTAAAAATCTAAATACACGATTAGATTTGGAATATCAAAGAACCCCAAAATTCAATTTTTGATGAAATCAAACAAAGTTTTAATTTGGACCCTTTTGACTACAATATGAACCAATTTGATAGCGGGGCCCACAAATAAAAAATCTAAATACATGGTTAGATTCAGCATATCAAAGAACCCCATATGCTGAAATCAAAAAAAGTTTAATTTTGGACCCCAACTTGGACCAACTTGAAAACTGGGCCCATAATCAAAAATCTAAACACATGTTTAGATTCAGCATATCAAAGAACCCCAAGAATTCAATTTTTGATGAAATCAAACAAAGTTTAATTTTGGACCCTTTTGACCTCAATGTGGACAAAGTTGATAACGGGGCCCAAAAATCTAAATACATGGTTAGATTCAGATGAGAACAATACAACAACAAATAATAAAAAATCTATAGCAGATACTTTTAATAACTTTTTTACTTCCTGTGCTGAAAAACTAAGAGAGCAAAGAGATATTTCATCTGTTGACAAGGCAGATTTCAATAATCTTAGCACATTCATTAATTATCAATTAAAACAACAACAAAATGCTTCGCTGGGCGCAGCTTGATACAACCGCAGAGGTCGAACCCTGAACAGTTGGGGCAAGTATGGACACAACATTCAAGCTTGATACAGCTCTGAATTTGGATTGTGATTAAATCTTTGACACAGCATAGGTTTCTGACACAGAAAGAATGTGGTCTAAGAACTTGAATTTTTTTAATTTACCTATTATGGTCCAATGTCCAAAATCAAAATACATGGTTAGATTCAGCATATCAAAGAACCCCATATATTCAATTTTTGTTGAAATCAAACAAAGTTTAATTTTAGACTCCAACTTGGACAAAGTTGAAAACTGGGCCCATAATAAAAAATCTAAACACATGTTTAGATTCAGCATATCAAAGAACCCCAAGAATTCAATTTTTGTTAAAATCAAACTAAGTTTACTTTTGGACCCTTTGGACCTTAATGTAGACCAATTTAAAAAAAAAGGACCCAAAATTAAAAATCTAAATACACGATTAGATTTGGAATATCAAAGAACCCCAAAATTCAATTTTTGATGAAATCAAACAAAGTTTTAATTTGGACCCTTTTGACCACAATATGAACCAATTTGATAGCGGGGCCCACAAATAAAAAATCTAAATACATGGTTAGATTCAGCATATCAAAGAACCCCATATGCTGAAATCAAAAAAAGTTTAATTTTGGACCCCAACTTGGACCAACTTGAAAACTGGGCCCATAATCAAAAATCTAAACACATGTTTAGATTCAGCATATCAAAGAACCCCCAAGAATTCAATTTTTGTTAAAATCAAACTAAGTTTAATTTTGGACCCTTTGGACCTTAATGTAGACCAATTTAAAAAACAGGACCCAAAATTAAAAATCTAAATACACGGTTAGATTTGGCATATCAAAGAACCCCAAGAATTCAATTTTTGTTAAAATCAAAGTAAGTTTAATTTTGGACCCTTTGTACCTTAATGTAGACCAACTTAAATAAAATGCTCGGCAGGGCACAGCTTGATACGACCGCAGAGGTCGAACCCTGAACAGTTGGGGCAAGTATGGACACAACATTCAAGCTTGATACAGCTCTGAATTTGGATTGTGATTAAATATTTGACACAGCATAGGTTTCTGACACAGAATGAATGTGGTCTAAGAACTTAAAAATTTTAAATTGGACATTCACATATTATGGTCCAATATCCAAAATCTAAATACATGGTTAAATTCAGCACATCAAAGAACCCCAAGAATTCAATTTTTGATGAAATCAAACAAAGTTTAATTTTGGACCCTTTTGACCTCAATGTGGACAAAGTTGATAACGGGGCCCAAAAATCTAAATACATGGTTAGATTCAGCATATCAAAGAACCCCATATATTCAATTTTTGTTGAAATCAAACAAAGTTTAATTTTGGACCCCGATTTGGACCAACTTGAAAACTGGGCCCATAATCAAAAATCTAAATACATGTTTAGATTCAGCATATCAAAGAACACTAAACATTCAATTTTTGTTAAAATCAAACTAAGTTTAATTTTGGACCCTTTGGACCTTAATGTACTCCAATTTGAAAACAGAACCAAAAATTAAGAATCTAAATACACGGTTAGATTTGGCATATCAAAGAACCCCAATAATTCAATTTTTGATGAAATCAAACAAAGTTAAATTTTGGACCCTTTGGACCTCAATGTGGACCAATTTAAAAACGGGGCCCAAAATCCAAAAACTTAATACACGGTTATATTCAGCATATTAAAGAACCCCAAGAATTCAAGAATAAAACCCCATTGAAATTGATCAAGAAATAAGCAATTTATAAGAAGTATCTTCTTTTGCACAATACTGTGCAATTGAATATTTCTTGCTATTGCGCAATACTGTACAATTGACAATTTCTTGCTATTGTGCAATATTGTGCTATTGGATATTTCTTGCTATTGCGCAATATTGTGCAATTGAAGATTTCTTGCTATTGCGCAATACTGTGCAATTGAAAATTTCTTGCTATTGCACAATACTTATTATATAAAAATTTACACATCCTGTTTGGTGTGTATCTCCTACAATATCATTATTATTTGCTTTTAAATATAAATCAGAAATAACCAACTTAAAATGGAAAATTTTAAAAGAAAAAAAAAAGGAAAAAAAGAAAAAAAAAGAAAAAAAAAAATCCCCCCCCCCAATTTTTTGAACCCCCTTATGATTCATCACCCCCCAAACTCAATCCCAGCCTTCCCTTTGTGGTATGGTACCTTGCAGTACAATTTCAGAGAGATCCATACACTTGAACACAAGTTATTGTCTTGAAACTAGAAAAATGCTTATTTTTGGCCCCTTTTTGGCCCCCAATTCCTAAACGTTTCAGGCAATTACACCCGAACTCAATTCCAGCTTTCCCTTTGTGATATGAAACCTTGTAGTACAATTTCAGAAATATCCAAACACTTACACACAAGTTATTGTCATGAAACTAGAAAAATGCTTGTTTTTTGCCCCTTTTTTGGCCCCTTATTCCTAAAATTTTGAGGCAATTACCCCCAAAATCAATTACAGCCTTCCCTTTGTGATATGGAACCTTGTGGTACAATGTCAGAGAGATCCATACACTTACACACAAGTTATTGTCTGAAAGTTACAAAATGCTTATTTTTGGCCCCTTTTTGGCCCCTAATTCCTTAACTGTTGGTACCATAACCCCCAAAATCAATCCCAACCTTCCTTTTGTGGTATTGAACCTTATGGTAAAATTTCATGGAGATCCATTCACTTAAACTAAAGTTAGAGTGCGAAAACCAATGTGTCTTCGGACGACGCCGGACGACGCCAGACGACGACGCCAACGTCATACCAATATAAGACCAAAAAATTTTTAATTTTTGCGGTCGTATAAAAATGGGACCCAAAATTAAAAATCTAAAAACACGGTTAGATTTGGCATATCAAAGAACCCCAAGAATTCAATTTTTGATGAAATCAAACAAAGTTTAATTTTGGACCCTTTCAACCTCAATATGAACCAATTTGATAGCGGGCCCACAAATAAAAAATCTAAATGCATGGTTAGATTCAGCATATCAAAGAACCCCATATATTCAATTTTTGTTGAAATCAAACAAAGTTTGATTTTGGACCCCAACTTGGACCAACTTGAAAACTGGGCCCATAATCAAAAATCTAAACACATGTTTAGATTCAGCATATCAAAGAACCCCAAGAATTCAATTTTAGTTAAAATCAAACTAAGTTTAATTTTGGACCCTTTGGACCTTAATGTAGACTAATTTATAAAACAGGACCCAAAATTAAAAATCTAAATACACGGTTAGATTTGGCATATCAAAGAACCCCAATAATTCAATTTTTGATGAAATCAAACAAAGTTTAATTTTGGACCCTTTTGACCTCAATATGAACCAATTTGATAGCGGGGTCCACAAATAAAAAATCTAAATACATGGTTAGATTCAGTATATCAAAGAACCACACATATTCAGTTTTTGTTGAAATCAAACAAAGTTTAATTTTGGACCCCAATTTGGACCAACTTGAAAACTGGGCCAAAAATCAAAAATCTAAATATATGTTTAGATTCAGCATATCAAAGAACCCCATATATTCAATTTTTGTTAAAATCAAACAAAGTTTAATTTTGGACCCTTTGGACCTTAATGTAGACCAATTTGAAAACAGGACCCAAAATTAAAAATCTAAATACACAGTTAGATTCGGCATAACAAATAAATAACTGTGGTCAAAGATTTTACAAATCTAAATCTAATGCGCCATACTGTGCAATTAAAGATTACTTCTTGAAATTTTTCAATATTTGAAATTTGAAGAAAAAATAATATTTGAAGAATAATTCTGTTAATTTCTGAAATCTGAAATGAGAAAAAACTGACCCCCACAATTTCTTTTTACCCCCCCCCCCCCCCACCCTTTTTCCCCCAAAAAATTCGTTCCCTCAAGATATGGTCATAATCTCAATTCAAATTTCCAATGGAATTTGCAACCATAATTACCCATTTAAATTTACCATAGTGCTAACTTAATCTATTTTATAATAGAATTTAAAATATAGTGTCAAATCTTTCATATGGATTTTTTGGTAAAAAAAAAAGATGCAACATTTGCAGATATTTTTACTGGTCTTCCTTTATAAATATGCATTTCTTTAAACATAATTTAAAAGCAGTGTAAGGGAAGTAACCAAAACGTTGTATTTGGATTACCTCCCTTACACTGTTTTAAATTATCTTAATTGTTCATTAACCATTACTTTATACATAATTTAAAAGCAGTGTAAGGGAGGTAATTTCAATGATGTATTTGATTTATCTCCCCTACACTGCTTTAAATTATGTTTTGTACTAAAGTATTTGTCCATTAACCAGGACAACCTTGTTTTTCCCCCTTTTTTGCCCCTAATTCCTAAACGGTTTGAGCCATACCCCCCAAAGCAAATCCTAACCATCCCTTTGTGGTATGGAAACTTTAAGTATAATTTCAGAGAGAACCATACACCGTTCCACAGTTATTGTCTGGAAACTAGAAAATGCTTATTTTTGGCCCCTTTTTGGCCCCTAATTCCTTAACTGTTGGTACCATAACCCCCAAAATCAATACCAACCTTCCTTTTGTGGTATTTAACCTTATGGTAAAATTTCAAAGAGATCCATTCACTTAAACTAAAGTTAGAGTGCGAAAACCAATGTGTCTTCGGACGACGACGACAACGACGACGCCAACGTCATACCAATATACGAATAAAAACATGAGAAATTTACCATACCACCAATAAAGATAAATGAGCTATTTGATGAGTTAACCAAACTTGATGTAAATAAATCATCAGGAACTGATAATATTGGACCCAAAATCCTTAAAATAAGTGCCCCATATATTGCCACTCCTCTCACATATATATTCAACAGAATGATAGATACTGGTATATATCCTTCATTACTGAAAAATGCTAAGGTAACACCAGTTTACAAAGATGGTGACAAGGTTTTAGCAACAAATTACAGACCAATATCTGTTCTTCCATCTCTATCAAAAGTATTAGAAAGGCATGTCTCAAATAACATGTACAAGTACTTGTCTAAATTTAAACTTTTACACCCTACACAATCAGGTTTCAGGCCACACCATTCTTGTCAAACTGCACTTATTGATATCATTGACAAATAACTGCAAGAAATGAATGATGGTAATTTAAACTTAGCAATACTGTTGGACTTCAAAAAAGCATTTGATCTTATAGATCATGACATTCTTTGCTTAAAGCTTACTATTTACGGATTCAGCGAGTCTGCAGTAGGTTTTTTCAGGTCATACCTAAGTAATAGAACACAGCAAGTAAACATTTGCAATGTTAATTCTAATAAAAAAAGATGTGAAATTTGGTGTCCCCCAAGGATCTATACTAGGTCCTCTATTATTTGTCTTATTTATAAATGACCTTCCTCTTTGCATTAAAAATTGTAAAACCAACTTGTGTGCTGATGATACTACTCTCCATAAATCTGGGGAAAACATAGAAAATTTACATGATGATGTACAAGAAGATTTATGCAGAGTTGAAGAATGGTGCAAAATTAATAATATGTTCATCAATACCAAAAAAACAAAATATTTGGTTACTGGAACAAGTCAGAAGTTATCAACTCAATCTTTTCAACCAAATTTACTAATAAATTCAGAAACACTACAAAATTCATCATGTGAAAAATTATTAGGTGTTAAAATTGACAGCACTCTTAGCTGGACAAATCAAATTGATCAAATTTGTGCTAGCATTTCATCAAGAATATACCTTCTTTCTAAATTAAAGAAATTTTTAGATATTAATGCCAGGAAAGCATACTATAATGGGTATATTCTGCCGCTCATCGATTACTGCTGTATTGTTTGGGGAGAATGTAAAAATGAAGGGATGGTAAGAATATTAAAACTTCAAAAAAGAGCAGCAAGATTAATTCTTGATGCAGACCCTTTATCCCCATCAGCCCCCTTATTTAAAGAACTTGGATGGATGACAGTTGAAAACAGAATCAAATACCACAAATATTTACTGCTACATAAATGTATGCGGAAAGAAGCACCACAGTACCTACTTCAAAAGTTTCAACTTATATCTGTTAATAATCCTTATGCTTTAAGGGGTGTCACTCAAGGTAATTTGATAGTTCCTAAGCCAAAAACTGAACTGTTTAAAAAATCTTTTGCTTATTTTGGATCAGTTTTATGGAACGGACTACCATATGAAATGCGTAAAGTGCAAAACACTTTTTCTTTTAAACAAATTATAAAACAATACTTGAGACAGTCCCAATATTCAATCTTGAAATGATTGCAACTATTACTCTTTTTTTTTAGAATGTATGATTTTGATTTGTATATAATATCTATTCACTGCGTGCAATCTGTAACTGTTTTATATGTTCTAATTATGGTACATGTACATTGAACTATCATGACTATACGATTGTGTTAATATGTTGTATGTTTGCTTTTTTTTTCTTTTATTATTATTTTTTACATGTATTGTATATGAGGGCCTCAGGGAAGATTAGTAATTGTAACTAACTGTGTTTACCCTCTTTAAATAAAGAATTTATTATTATTATTATTATCATTAGTACAATAATAACTAATAAGAAACTTCGTTGTGAATAAATTTAAGTGTCTATACAACACTTAAATTATTATTCTATTTCAACAACATACAAAAAGTATTTCTTATAAATCGATTAGTATCTACATCCTTTCTATTGTTTGTTGGTCCGTTGGAATATTTAATTTAAATTGAGAAATCCTTTAGATGAACATGTCAACATATCAATAAGGAAATGCCATATGTTTCCTATTTGCCCTGTGGTTACAGAGAAACAGATTTGTAAAAGTGAACACAAGTATAAGAATGATCTTGATAATAACTTTTTTTTCTGTGTCTCGCCTGCGATTGCTGCTGTCAGTGTAAATGAGTAATGTTGATAGCTAAAAAATTAAGTCCATTTATCAGTAAACAACCAAAAAAAAACTTTTTTTTTTCTTCAGATGCTATTTCTTGTGTAATGAAACTCTACTAAATTATTCCATCTTTACTTTTCAGACCACTTTCAGCATCTTTATTGGCAGATTCTATAGAGGTCTGAATTTCTTCAATCCATAGTTCTGCATCCTCATCTCCTGTTTCCTGTCGACAAAAATAAAAAGTGAAATAATAAGCCCTTGTTAAAAATATATTACAAATAAAGACCCTGCCGGACATTTTTTTTCAATCCTATTTTTAATCTTTTAAGACTTTGTAACAATTAGCAATCAAGATAATATTGTGAAATCAAGGACAGTAGGGACTGTCATGATAATGATAACTTCAGACTTTTGGTATGGATTCCATGAACTCATACATTGATAGTTCTGTTAATTGACAGTACATCATCTGAAGTGAGCAACATTAGCAGACTTCGTTTGCGCTATGCTCTTCATTAATCCAATAATAGCTGATCAGAAACTTAGTTATGATTAAATTTAAATGTATTTGCAACACTCCAATCACTAAAGCACCAGGGGTTTATCTGGGCATTTTGGAAAAAAGGACCCTGGCCAGTTTTGGGAATTTGTTTACACGATTTACAATGAAATTGGGAAAACTACTACTATACCAGATGCGAGTTTTAGTGTGTTAAGTTCATTAAGAATTATCTTTTTTTGTTGTTTATAATTTTATTTTCTGTTCTTTCTTTCTTTTCTCAACTTAACAATAAGGAACTCAAGTTTGTCTAGCATTAAAATATTGTAGTTTTTAAAGCACACATGTGACAAAACTTTTTCCCCTTTTTTTATCTTCAAAGACAGCAACAGTTAATATGGTTAATATAATATAAATAATTCAGGGATAGAAATAAGATGTATTTTAACTGGCCAAGCAGGCTAACACCTCTTTTAATTCACTTGCTCTTCCAGATTTTGACTGGCTCTTCAAAATTGAGAAGAAAAAATTAATTCATTGATCTGTAGTTATTTGTTAGCATTATAAAAACAACTTATATCAACATGTTTTAGTGAATAAGAAAAGTAATGTTACATTTTATTGGATTTTGACATGAAAATTTGTGAACAAAAAACAATTTTGAGTTTCTGTATTAAACATTTTCTGTTTCTTCTTTCTTTTTCATAGACCTATTGGTTTTTAATTCTAGTGTTTATATAGCCGTCCTTTGTCATCTGCCTAGATTTTTTTAAATTTATTTATTGTTTTTGATCGGCAAACCCGGAATTAGATCCGGTATTGTAATTGTCTACATTTCCGGTTTATGTCAGCCATTGTTTGTCGATGTTGTTTTTCGTCAGTTACATGTAGAAATGTTTTACTCGGATTAACACATTACTTGTTGGCCATTTTCGGAATAAAGCTAGCAGTTGAAAAGAATGGACATCGCTGTCATGAATAATAAAGATGAAAATAAATTTTGAGATCGTTTGGGAATTTTGTTCCCAAAATTGGGGAAAATGTAGGGTTTTTGCCATTGGGAATGGGTCCGAATACCGGACCCTGTGGAATGCTAGAAAAATCCATGAGCACTCAGGGTCTAGAAAAGTGAATCAATTCAAAAGTCTATACAAATGCAAAACATCAATCTGTCAATCACTCGAGAGAAAAGTTGTAAATATATTCAAACATAATACAACATAATCAAGCTAGTATCCAGATTCTAGAAAACTTATGAATGAATTTTAACAGATATCATCCTTAAAATTATCAAGAATGAATAAAACTAGAGGCTCTCAAGAGCCTGTGTCGCTCACCTCTATTTACTGATGCTTTGGAAATCATGTAAAATAAGGTTAAAATCATAATTAATACTATTAGATATTAGATATTATAATGATATCTAAGATAATAACAAAAAACTGCAAAATTTTTGTAAAACAAGAAATGATTGTAACAGGATGCTGTTACGAAGTCTCCCAAACGAAGCTCCCATAATTCGTAATTCCCAGGGTCGCCTGACATTGGGCAACGTCCAGTGAAAATTGGTTTGGTCCAGTAAAGTTATATGCATTAGTGATGCCTGGGGACTAACCTTGTATATCATTCAAATCATCTTGGCATGACAAACCAGAATATATATGGTTTAGGGGTGGGGATCTCGACCATTTACAAGGTATTAGAACTTTCTCAAATGGCAGGGGGTCGGGATGACCCCTGGGGACTAACCCTGTATATCATTCAAACCATCTTAGCATGACAAACCAGAATATATATGGTTTAGGGGTGGGGATCTTGACCACTTAGAAGATATTAGAACTTTCTTAAATGGCAGGGGGTGGTGGTGACCCCTGGGGACTAACCCTGTATTTCATTTGATGAGCTTTATCATGACAAACCAGAATATATATGGTTTAGGGGTGGGGATCTCGACCATTTACAAGATATTAGAACTTTCTCAAATGGCAGGGGGTCGGGATGACCCCTGGGGATTAACCCTGTTTATCATTCAAACCATCTTAGCATGACAAACCAGAATATATATGATTTAGGGGTGGGGATCTTGACCACTTAGAAGATACTAGAACTTTCTTAAATGGCAAGGGGTGGGGGTGACCCCTGGGGACTAACCCTGTATTTCATTTGATGTGCTTTATCATGACAAACCAGAATATATATGGTTTAGGGGTGGGGATCTCGACCATTTACAAGATATTAGAACTTTCTCAAATGGCAGGGGGTCGGGATGACCCCTGGGGACTTACCCTGTATATCATTCAAACCATCTTAGCATGACAAACCAGAATGTATATGGTTAAGGGGTGGGGATCTTGACCACTTAGAAAGATATTAGAACTTTCTTAAATGGCAGGGGGTGGGGGTGACCCCTGGGGACTAACCCTGTTTTTCATTTGATGTGCTTTATCATGACAAACCAGAATATATATGGTTTAGGGGTGGGGATCTCGACCATTTACAAGGTATTAGAACTTTCTCAAATGGCAGGGGGTCGGGATGACCCCTGGGGACTAACCCTGTATATCATTCAAACCATCTTAGCATGACAAACCAGAATATATATGGTTTAGGGGTGGGGATCTTGACCACTTAGAAGATATTTGAACTTTCTTAAATGGCAGGGGGTGGGGGTGACCCCTGGGGACTAACCCTGTATTACATTTGATGTGCTTTATCATGACAAACCAGAATATATATGGTTTAGGGGTGGGGATCTTGACCACTTACAAGGTATAAGAACTTCCTTAAATGGCAGGGGGTGGGGGTGACCCCTGGGGACTAACCCTGTATTTCATTTAATGGGCTTTATCATTTAGAACATTTTCAATTAAAAAGATTGTGTCTATCACAAACGGTTTTCAATTTATAATCATTTGAAAATTAAAAAAAATAAAATCCCATAGGGTTCTATAGTAAAACCCTCTTTTCTTTTTGCCCCTCAAAGTACCCCTTTATAAACCCCGTTGCACAAACAAAACCCTGATTGCACCACTAGACATGTTAGTCTAACATATTGTGAAACCCTAAGTTAATCTGACAAGCGGTTTTGGAGAACGGGTGCGGACAAGTTCAAATTTAAAAGCGGCGGAAGAAGAAGAAGAATAATAATAATAATAACTGAGCAAAAACAATAAGTCTTCCCAAACTTCGTTTGGGAGACTTAATTACTAACTCAGGGGCAGCAACTCAACAACAGGTTGTCTGATTTGTCTGAAAATTTCAGGGCAGATAAATCTAAATCTGATGAACATTTTTGCCACCTGTCAGATTTGCTCTAAATGCTTTAGTTTCAGAGATATAAACCAAAAACTGCATTTTACCCCTATGTTCTATTTTTAACCAATTCAGCTATGATGGTTGGAAGGCAAGGTCATCGGACAAATTTTTTAAACTAGATACCCTAATAATGATTATGGCCAAGTATGGTTAAATTTGTCTCAGTAGTTTCAGAGAAGAAGATTTTTGTAAAAGATTACAAAAATTTACAAAAAATTGTTTAAAATTGACAACTTATTTGTAGATCTTACTTTGCTGAACATTATTGCTGTTTACAGTTTATCTCTATCTATAATAATATTCAAGATAATAACCAATAAAATGCTCCGCAGGGCGCAGCTTGATACGACCGCAGAGGTCGAACCCTGAACAGTTGGGGCAAGTATGGACACAACATTCAAGCTTGATACAGCTCTGAATTTGGATTGTGATTAAATATTTGACACAGCATAGGTTTCTGACACAGAATGAATGTGGTCTAAGAACTTAAAAATTTTAAATTGGACATTCACCTATTATGGTCCAATATCCAAAATCTAAATACATGGTTAGATTCAGCATATCAAAGAACCCCAAGAATTCAATTTTTGATGAAATCAAACAAAGTTTAATTTTGGACCCTTTTGATCTCAATGTGGACAAAAATGATAACAGGGCCCAAAAATCAAAAATCTAAATACATGGTTAGATTCAGCATATCAAAGAACCCCATATATTCAATTTTTGTTGAAATCAAACAAAGTTTAATTTTGGACCCCGATTTGGACCAACTTGAAAACTGGGCCCATAATCAAAAATCTAAATACATGTTTAGATTCAGCATATCAAAGAACCCTAAAAATTCAATTTTTGTTAAAATCAAACTAAGTTTAATTTTGGACCCTTTGGACCTTTATGTAGACCAATTTGAAAACGGAACCAAAAATTAAGAATCTAAATACACAGTTAGATTCGGCATATCAAAGAACCCCAATAATTCAATTTTTGATGAAATCAAACAAAGTTAAATTTTGGACCCTTTGGACTTCAATGTGGACCAATTTAAAAACGGGGCCCAAAATCCAAAAACTTAATACACGGTTAGATTCAGCATATTAGAGAACCCCATATATTCCATTTTTGTTGAAATCAAACAAAGTTTAATTTTGGACCCCGATTTGGACCAACTTGAAAACTGGGCCCATAATCAAAAATCTAAATACATGGTTAGATTCAGCATATCAAAGAACCCCATATATTCAATTTTTGTTGAAATCAAACAAAGTTTAATTTTGGACCCCGATTTGGACCAACTTGAAAACTGGGCCCATAATCAAAAATCTAAATACATGGTTAGATTCAGCATATCAAAGAACCCCATATATTCAATTTTTGATGAAATCAAACAAAGTTTAATTTTGGACCCTTTT